AACCTCTTCTATAGAAGAGGTTCCACAAATCTACAGTGCTGTTTAGAACCGGTTCCAGCTCCCTCTCCCCTGCCCAAAATGAAGAGCGAGAGGAGGAATTCTGGGAGTTGAAGTCCACAAGTCTTAAAGCTGTCAAGTTTGAACACCCCTGGGTTTTTTTTCTAAAGGGTTAGGGGTGCAAGGGTCTTGTAACTTGACAGCTTTAAGACTTGCATGCTTCAAATGCCAGAATTTCTGAGCCAACATTTTGGTTGCTAAGCAAGAGTGTTGTTAAGTAAGTTTCACCACATTTTACAAGTTGCCCATGCCCACCCAGTCACATGACTTCCAAGCCATTCCCACAAAGCAGGCCACACCTACAGAAGAGGTTCTAAAAAAATTTGAAACCCACCACTGATACACACATACATATCCATCTTGTAGAACTTTGCTAGAACCTATTGAACTTCTTATGTTCAATATGTGTGAGGGATGGTGTCTATGGAGGGGAAGATGAAAGTGAAGCAACAGTTTCCAAGGAAGGAGGAGGCACATTCCAAGTGTGTGGGGGTTGGGTAGGGTGGGTGACAGGTGAAGAAGAGGCAACAGCCCAGAACTGGAGAGAGGCACACACTGGAAGAGAGTTAGGATAGCCAGAATCTCCCATGGTATAAGCACTGGGATGAGAGTAGTAAAGGTTTAAGTTTAGGTTCAGTAAATTGAATGTAAGCAAATAAAGAACTGAACTTTGGCTAGATTGTTCTATGTTGTTTTTGGGCTGAGCCTGACAATATGCTAGTTGGAATTCATGACATTCATGGAATTCAGGCATGAACAGTACAAAAGATGGCTGCCTAAGAATCAGGAGAGTTGTTGCCATAACACATAGACAGTATTGGTCTAGATAGACTAACGGTCTTAATTGGATGAGTTTTAAGTGTTTGCATCTTTATAGATTGCTGCAAGACAGCCTTGCCCAATCTTCAGGCAGTTGAACCTAGCAAGTAGTCAATGCAGAATATTGTGATGTATGTCATGTTGGATCTCTCAGCCCCGATTCTCAACCTGTAAGCAAGACAAAACGAGAAAGAATAATTTAGAAACTCTTGATGCTTTGACTATATGCTTTGAGAAGTGCTTTGCCAGGATTGAAGCTTTTTGGAAGCATCGTGTCATCTGTTTGAAGTTTTTTTTGTTTTGTTTTGTTTTTAAAGAAAGATATTGTTGTGGCCTGCCAGCAGAGCTGGCAGAAGATTCACATAGTGAGGAGGTTGGGGAGGAACATGTCCTCCCTAGAGTCCTAGAGTCTGGGGAAGGCTCTGATGAGGGCTCTGTCGGAGGCAGAGAGGGGGCCAGAGCCGTATGCCAGTTATCAGCTGCCTTCAGAGTCAGACACCAGTGAGGCAGATGAACAGTGGGAGCCTGTTCCCAGTGTGTGCATGCATAGAGTTGCCAGATGAAGGGAACAGCTAAAGAACAGGGGTCAACTTGGGAGTAAGGCCACAGGTGGATGGTGAATGGCCCCTCCCAGAGTTAATAAAAGAGGAGCGAAAGGGGAGTGGAGTTTGCAGGAGACAATTAGTTCACTTAATTGGTTTGGGACTCTCTGAGACTTCTGGCCAAGTTTTGCAGATATCAGCCTGATAACTCTCCAAGCCAGGTATGGTCTGTGATTGTAAATCTTCCCTTGAAAGACTTTGCTTGTTGTGAATGAGCAGAATTCACAGTAAATTAATAAAGGGTTTTTTGTCGGAACAAGGAGTTTGCTTCATGCTCTTGGGAAGCCTAGGTTAGAATAGATCTAACTAAAAGTAACAAATAAATAACTAAACAGAAATGAGAGCGGTTTGCCTCATAGCCCATAAACATATGAATGTACAGGATGCGTAATCAGAAGCTTTCTCAATGTCTAGGCTGCTATATCCTATTTCTTCATCAGCCTACTCTTATCTTTTGCTGATATGCTACACCCATCCTGGTCACATATGCCATGAATCACAGCCCTGAACTTGATGTTCAGGTATGTGACTACGTCACATTGCTTCCCTTGTCTGTTACAATTCTCAAAGTTCTCTATCATTTCAATGAAAATTAATGAGTTTTGAATATTTCACATAGAATTCAGTTATATTAATTTTTCTTTGTTTGCCTTTCATTTAGTTCCTAAGACAATCAGAACATAAATCTCTAGAAAATAGAATACTTGTATTTCAAAATGCTTAGTTGCATTTAAGGCCATCAACAATTGTTTTAATTATATTAAAATTTATTTATTATCCTTCTTGTGCTTCTGCCACATTCGGAATATAACCAAATTGCCCTACATCATGGCCATAGTCCATGTTTACTGTGGAGGGCAGCAATATTTTTGCAACACATCTAGACTAGGGGATTTTCTGTTTGAAAATAAAAATAAGTATTCTTAAAGAAATCACACTCTGTTGACTCATTAATACATTTGGTTATAAAATTTTGATCACTTGTTGAGACTAGTAGATGAAGATGGATAAAGATTTATACATTGTTTTCATTTTAACAGCAAGCCCTCCCACACAGTCAAATGAAGGACAGATAAATTATTATGCTTTTTTTGATCCAAGGAAAAAACTGCTGATTTAGACAATCTTTTCTCTTCTCCTGTCTCATCTTGTAAAGAAAATTAAGCAGTGAACAGTTTCACATACAGATTCTCTCTCTCCTTCTCTCTCTCTCTCTTCACATTCATCCCCCTTCCTCGTATACATAAACACCAAAATAAATGCAAGTATAATGGAGATATATGTAATTATAAATGTACATTACATTTACATATAAATGTGAAAGAACATACATTGTAAATGTAAATGTGTCTAGTTAGAAGTCAGAATACAGTAGATTGTGATTATAGAACCTAATCTGGGTAAACCTCTTTTTTCAGCTATGGAAATGAATAATTACTTCTTCAGTTTCACTCAGTCTTTCTTATTTGCCTGTATATTTAATTTACTGTATTCTGACTTTATCTTATGACAATAAGATTTTGAATGTGTTCCTCCTCACTTTATTCTCAGAACATTGTACTATAGGTTGGGATGAGAGTAAATAACCCAGAGTCAACCCATTGGCTTTATGGTTGAGTTGTCCCTGAACCTGGGTCATACTAGTTATAGTCTTTGTATTGTTATTTGTATTATTATTTTATTTATATCTTAAATTATAGTCTTCTGTTTCTGAAGGATGTAATTCTATCTATCTAAATAAATAAAATGTCATACATGCATCAATCACAAGCTTTTCCAATCTGCTGGATATGTTGGAGTTTGATTCCAACTATTCTTAGTTATTGACACTAGGCTGGTGAGGAATTGTGGGAGATAAAATCCAACGTATTAACAGAAAGCAGCAAATTGGAGAAAAACTACCTGCACCTTAATTAATATTTCATAAAAATATGATTTTCTACTATATGTAGAAAAAAATGAATAGTTTTGAATGTATTATCTGAAGCATGTTTTGTTTATGTCAAGTTCAATCTAGCATAAAACATACTAGACATTTGGTCATGTGCTGAATATAGAAACTATATGTAATTTAACTTGATGACTCATCTACAGAATAATGAGCTCCAAAGAGTAAACATATTGTCCCTTGGTGAATGATCTTCCCTCCACTAATGCAAATAGTTTGATAAGTCCCAGTGGGCTGGCTAAAAGTTTATCTTCCTTTTGGAGCTCTGCAAGCTGTCGGAAAGCTAATTCTACTTTAGAAAATAGTCTTTTGGAGGAATAGCAATAGGAGTAGCACTTAGACTTATATACCGCTTCACAGTGTTTTACAGCCCTCTCTAAGCGGATTACAGAGTGAGGATCTTGCCCCAACAATCTGGGTCCGCATTTTGCTAACCTCAAATATATGAAAGGCTAAATCAATCTTGAGCTGATGAGACTCGAACTGCCAGCAGTTGGCAGGCAGCAGAATTAGCCTGCAATACTGCCTTCTAATCACTGCATCACTATGACTCTAAGGAACTAAGGAAGCTTGGTTAATATAGCAGGATGAATTAAGATATTAAATATTTCTTGGACAATAGTGGTCTATATATTATCATTCGTGGAAGTATGGGGAATAAAAACAGAAAAAGTAAACTGTCCCAAGATCCGAAAAAAGAGTGAGTTCCCATTGTATTAGTTCTTATTGGACTGGTCATAAAAAGATGGATAGTACCATCAGAATGGACAAAAAAAACCCACCATATGACTTGTAGAAAATTTGTAATTATTTAGGATTTTTATTTCCTAAGAATATCTCTGGGTCCACAGGAATCCTAGGCATATCCTGGGAAATAAAATTGACATGAGAGGCTAGTTGCAAAATGGCAGCTACTCATTTAGCAACTTTTAAATTGTCAACTAAGATGTTTAAAAGTTAAATGAAGCTGAGAACCTAGTGAGACATATTTCTGGACATATTAAATACTCCCAAATGCCACACTTAGAGGCTTCAGCTTTGTAAATCTCAAAAGAACCTAAATACAGGAGGAGGAGGAGGAGGAGGAGGAGGAGGAGGAGGAAAAGGAGGAAAAGGAGGAGGACCATCTCTTAGACGGAGAATCAAATCATTTAAACTTGGTTATGTCCATTATATGTTGGAAATTACATGTAAAATATTTTTAAATTTCCCAGATAACTTATTTTCTATGCATACTTTCCTGAATCGGTGCCATCACAATACATTGCGCTGCTGTTTGGCTATGAAACTGAAAACTGCCTATTGGGATAAAGATGTTGATCATACATTTATGTATATTTTGCAATTTTCAAATCCTGGGAGAATGCCACACTCACATGATTAATTTAAATCTTAATTAATGTAGGAGGGCTTTTTCTGTTTTGCTTTAAGGAAGAAAAGAAGCATTCCAGCTTTACTTATGACACTGATTTAGAAAGCTTCACTTTTTCTGTAATTGGGCCTCATTAATACATTCCTGAGTGCTCCGAAATTTAGGAGAAGTAAAACATGAGCCAGAGAGATCAGAGCAACAGGGGTCTGTAAGAATTCCAGACCACAAAGTTAATTCCACTTAAGGAGATTGAAGAGGCTCTGTAATCAAAGGAGGAAAACATGTTTCAGAAAACACAACAGTCACCCAAGGCATGGGAAACTTTCTTTTTCAGAGGTTCAGTACTGGCTGTTTTACCAAGTTTCTTTATCTCTTTCCCTCATTCTGGGATTGCAATTTGTAGAAGAATATTTTAGAGTTATCAGTAATAGTGATCTGTGAGTGGTATTTTCATTTCACTTCTCTCCCACCCCCACATCCATGTGGTTTCCAAAAAAGAAGCTCCCTTGTCAGATTGATCAGATAATCTTGTCCATGGGGAACTGCAGGGTCTGGTTTAAAGAAGACAAGATGGCCATTGCAATAGTGTGATCAAAGCTCTGACAGATTTGAATATGTGCCATATCACAGTCCTTCCTATAGACTGTTCTGGACAAGACCAATTACTGCTGTAAGCCTCAAGTAGTAATATATACTTTAAACCTCCATACATTAACTCATCCACCTATAGCAGATAAACTCCAATGATCCTTTTGGGCATCTTAGGCTTTAATATTGCTTGAGAACCAGAAAGAAATGTGATGCTGTCAAAGCTTCAAGTTCAAAAAGGCCTGTCAAGCATAAAGCCTTTCTTGATCCTATGAAGCTGAGCTGCGTAAAAGATTTAAAAACGGTGTTTTACAAAGCATGTCCATGTGAGTGAAGGAACTCATTTTCAAAGCAGCATCGCAAATAGCCAGAGGTGGGTTTCGCGTAATTTTACCAACAGTTCGCTGTGCACCAAAACTGTGAGCGTGCTCTCACACATGCTCACTTCGTGAACACGCACACCTTCCACACATGCATGTGGCCTTTTGTACATGCACTTTGCTGGCATGGCTTGCATGCATGCCTGCGGCTTAGAAAACGTGGCTAAATAGGACGGCATAGAGCTGGACAAGGTGGGCAGGAATGGGAGGCCATTCACAGGTCTCCACTACCAGTTCGCCTGAGCCGGTATAAATCGGCTGAATACCACCACTGCATATAGCTCTTTAGAGTCTCTCCCATATTGATGATGCTGTGGGGCACACTTACCAGGAAAAAGAAGTAGTTCTACATGCATTTAGAGATGTCGAAAATATACAGTAAGCTCTTTGAACAAAGTAGTTGTTGTAACCCATCAAGGAGAGCAACTTTGCCAAGCACCTTGTTTAACCATTTTGCATGGTCATAACAATTACTATGATTATGCCCCCGCCTTTAATATTTCCTCCTTCTGCATTGTTAGGAATTACAGTCAAACAATATTTTTGGAGAGGTTCTGGGGGTAGTGCACAGGTTGTATGCACAAAACTTTCACTGAGAGTGAAATTAAATGGCTGGGGATGTACATACACAGACAACCAAACCTGGTGAAAGCAGTGTAAAAAAGCAGGGGGAGGATTGCACTGCGATTGATAAAGAATATTATGGCTGTCAAAAATGGCAGCATTAAATATTTCAATCACAATTGCCATATTTTTTTTTCAGATTATCCATATCAGAACCATTGATAGGCAGGACAGATAAGCATATTTTAGTGGGACACTGGGTGATTATATTCACTCTTCCTTGCCCTTGGATATACTTTTCCTTCTTGTTGACACTTGTTCTTATGTCCTGCTATGATAAGTCATGAAAAAAGATTTCCTTCCCTTCCGCCTTTCCTTCCATTTCTTTCCCTTCCCTTCCCTTCTGCAATCAAAAAAACTCTCATCATTTTATAGTAGTCAAGAGCATAAACAAGAGCAATTCCTATTATGACAACCATAGTAAGAAATAAATAAACCCATAGGAGCTATTACTATTGTTTACAGGGGAGTGGGTGGATCTAGATGGAGGGAACAAGCAGATGGCATACAGACAAATCTTCTTAAACTCTGTAAAAGAAACACAAGGAACTCCAAACATAAACATAATCAGCAGATGAGAGGAGAGTTTGTGAGTAACATAACTCATAAATGGCAACTCAGACTGAGTCCCCCCCAAAAAACTGATTTTTTTCCAAAATCAGAAAGTCTGTTTTTTTTCAATTGCAATACTTTCCCAACAAATCTTTAATTTCAAGAAAGTAAAGTAGCAATAAAATAAAATAAACAATTTCAAATTTTCACCACAGAAACCTATGATGAGCCATATGATCCACTTATTACAATGACCATAGATTTAAAGGGGCTGAGTTGACCAAAATAAACAATGTAATACCAAGACCTTCAAAGAGCCAGATTATATTTGAATTTAAGCCTATGCCTGCTAGATAGAGGACCTGAGCATGACAGCACAGATATATTATCTCTCCCTCAGTGTATGTATTTTGAGTGAAAAGGCTTCAAATCTCAAATCTATGTAACTTCTGTTCATTGTCTTGGAGCCCTCAGAAGCTGTAGAAACAGCCAGTGGTGGGTTCCGGATGGCCCGGCATCGCCCACATGGACATGCACAGTGCACACATGCATCGTAGCTGCAAACGAAGCTTCCGCAAGCCTCCGCAACACTCCAGCTGCTCGGTGGAGCGTTGTGCAGCCACTGTACACGCTATGCATGTGCGCAGAAGTGGCAAAAGCTTTAAAACATGGTAAGGAACTCCGGTGGGCCCTCCAGAGCACTGTACCGGAACGGTACCCGGTGCTCCAGGCAGGCTCCAGTACGCCTGTACCAGGGCATACTGCCTGCAACTCACCACTGGTTCCAGTAGTCACTACTGCTAGTTTGCTCATGGGCATTCCATGCGTGTGCTTGATACACACTGCACGCTATGTGCGCATGCGCAGTGCAATAAATATTGTTCTGCACATGTGCAGAAACAAAAAAACAAGATGATTCCGCCTATAGCGCCACCCAGAGAACCAGTTTGGGGGCATGGCAGGCCTGGATCGCTGCCGGTTCTGGCAACCTAGGCTGCCAAACCACTGCCGGTTTGCCTGAACTGGTCCAAACTGGTAGGAACCCACCACTGAAAGAGGTGCACAACCTCTGTAAAGGTGCCCATTAGGAAAAACTAGCTGCAAAAGTGGGGATATTTGGGAAGAATTGTTTGCAATACAAGATCTTTTGTGGATAACTGTTGCAGAAAAGCACACATTAAGGAATATTGAATAAATAAATTCATACCACCTTTTCTTGAAACATTTAAAATTTGCAAGCTGAGCTGGAAGTGTGATGGAAAATCACAGAAAATAAAACACATTTATCAGTGCTTGGCTGTGTCTCATTAAAGCTTTCTTGCGGCTTCACGACTATCTTATTATACTGATAAATAAGATGTCTGTGCAATATTACAAAACATTTCCACACTGTTTTTACTCTACAGAGTGAATTACGTGCCCAGTATTATACATTAAAGACACAGAGTTATTCGTGTTTGTAAAACCAATTCAAGAATTGACACCTTTATTTTATTTTCTGGAGCAGCTGTAGAACAGCACACAAGCCCTGAAATCTGGCTGAGTTTGTTTTCTGCAGCCTTCTGGGCTCCCCATATTATTAACTGGCTAAATAAAGCTCCTTTAAAGATCCCAGTGCTAACACTGGCCACTAACCAAAGGAAAAACAGTGATGCTATTCAGCAACCACCTTTGGTGGCAGGAGATGGAAAGCTCTTCCTTCCTTCCTTCCTCTCTTAAGAATGGTCAATTTATAAAATGAACAAGAACTAAGGAACTTGCAGGGTATCTTGTCAGTGGAAGCAACAGCTGCGAGATCCCTTTGCCCTCCCAGTCATGCTCATAGTGAATCCTCTGTTCTGGCAGGTGATGCTGCTGCCGCCGATTTGAAATACACAAACTATCCAGCCAGAAAGAGCAGCAACAGGCAAACATTTCAGCTGCATAGTGAGATTAAAGACCAAACCAAATCCTTGGAAGCATTAAAATAGTTAACGCTCAACTTCATGAGAACTCGATGAAATCAAACTGGGTGTTGTTAACTTAGCAGGCTTGGCCTATGCAGGAGTAAGTATATCCAGGTGTGAGATAAGTCCTGGTCAGAGATTTCTAGAAATAAAAATTTAATGTGACTTGAGGGTATTCCCACAGTGAGATCTTCAACACAAGCACTGATGAGAGAGTTTCCCATATTGGACTGTAGTCTCCATATTAATCTGGATCTTTGCATTATTTGTTTCTAGACTGTCTGAAATCTTTTGAAGTACAAATCTTCAGGCAAAGGCCTTTTTCCTATTGACTTCTGCATTGGACACATGGACCCTGTGGTATTCCCATATTCAGTGTAGCCATTTTCAAAATCCTAGAGCCATGATGGTGAACCTATGGCACGCGTGCCACAGGTGGCACACAGAGCAATATTTGGTGGCACGCCAGCCATCAGCTCTGGCACACATGCACCCGCCAGCCAGCTGATTTTTTGCTCTTTTGGAGGGCCAGGGGAGGCCATTTTCACCCTCCCAGGCTTCCAGAAACCCTCCAGAGACTGGAGGGGTCATGCGTGCATGCACAGGTGGGTGGGGAGATTGAGTGGGCACAAAGGTGTGTGCAATAGCACGTGCATGTAATTTTGGCACGCCGTAAGATAAAGGTTCGCCATCACTGTCCTAGAAGCGTGAGAGTAGTGGCTGGAAGCTGAAATGCTACAGTCACTATCTTGACTATGCAATAGCGATATTGAAAATATGCCTGGCCAAGTGAAATGCTTCATACAGCATGTCAATCACAGATACTGTTGCTGTATACCTTCCTCTCTTCTGTCCTCAAGAGCATGTAGAATCTAAGCAGGTAATTCACCAGGTGACATTCCAATCTTAAGAAAAATTGACATTTTTTACCTGGCAGCATTTTTAAATCAAATATATTTTGTGCCCCTCAAATATTTAGAAGAAATTGGAGCCACAACACACATTCTTGTTGAAATCTGTACTGTTCAGAATTTTGTAGTATAATTGTCCATTAAAACACTTGTGTAAGCTAGAAAAATGTGCCGACAAAAATGATATTCGGTATAGATATTTTTCAGAACAGTTGCAAGGCAGATTTTGACATACCGTATCTTTAACTGCATAGCTAGATTAAGGTTCAGTGTGCTGCTTGTCTGCCGTTTTCAAGGGTTGGTTTCATGGTCTCTTATCATTAAAGCAAAAGGTCACATCAAATGTATTGAAAGGCAATTTTATTCCTCCCATTTTGCCTGAAAGGAAAGAAAATGCATAATTTATGATATGGACATGGGAAAAGATCATGTAAACTCAACCAATGTTCTTCTGCCATAAAAGCAAGCATGGACCCTCAGTCAGAGGCAAACGTAGAGTGGGCTTTTTTTTGGCTTCAGTCACAATGCAAGTGTTTGTCCAAGGAAAGCATGCGGGGGAAGCAAGAGACCAAAGTAGATGGGATTGTTAAATGGAAATGTGCTCTTTCATAGTACAATGTTGTGCATATATTTTAAAAAAAGTGGGCAAGAGAATAGGCCTATGAAAAGATTTCCATTTTTGAACTACCAAGAAAGAGGGAAATCTGGAGTTTTCATTGTTTGTGATGACAAACAATTATGGCTTCACCTGACAGATTCAATTTGCTTCATCTTTCTCTACTGAAAGGTTGTAGGCTTCAGCTACTTCCACTACATCTCAACCAGTTGATTAATCCAAACATACATGCAGACTGTGTCTGTGGTCTCCTTGACCCAAACCTACATTTGTGCATGGACATCTCCCTGTGACTTATAATATACTGTATAGCAGTGACGTGCAGTGAGGTTTATGGCTGGTGAGGCACTGACACAGTGGTGGGTTTCAAATTTTTTTAGACTTGTGGACTTCAACTCCCAGAATTCCACAGCCAGGCATGCTTAGTTCTGATTTAAAGCGACAGCATTTGTTTTTCTCCTTTGCAAAAAAATTTCCTTCATTCTTTTTCTTCTCCATTTCCCTCCTCCCTCCCTCTCTCCCTCCCTCTCCCCCTCTCTCAAACAGACGCAAACACAGAAGTTGGATTGGATATATTTTCCAATGGCTTGAAAGCAGCTCCTCTACCATACCCCACAACCCTTGCTTAACTCTGCTCAAGTGATCATAAAACGCCTAAAGTCAGACTAGTGGGACGAGCGCAGGGGGTTGTGCGTGGGTGT